GAGGTGGCTCCTTGTCACGCTTTGGTCATTAGGAGGTATAGCGACTCCCTTCAGAGGATTTTCCACGCGCTCAGACTTTCACCTATGGGTGGGTGGATGGGTGTGAAAGGTAAGGACCACCTCTGGCGAGCGGGGTCTTAATTGGGGAACGCTGGAGAATGGAAAGTCATTATCCGGCAACGCTCAAGGCACGTTGATCTCGCTTGTACGCTTCTCCGCAGGCGTCGACTGATGGCAGCATTGTGTTCGTTTTTAAAGGCCCACATGTACGGCATACTCAATGTCAACACAATAGACCCTATGCGTGTCTGCAGCATGGACACGCGCACGAACAAGCCAAAGACACAAAACAAGGTATCCATGAACCAGGAAGAAAAATCATGCATATGCACGGACCGTGTGACACTATCCAACATGCGCGTTCGGTCCGTTGATGTTTGAGAACACGCGCGGGTTAATGACGATGATCGGCTCCACGAGCTAACAGACAGGCGGACGGAGCCAATGCACTTGCGCTTTTCACCACGCCTGTCGGCGCCCGTGAATGATTCACGGGCGCGATGGTCGTGCCCGCCGTGGCGGGTGTGGGTGGCGACGCTTCCTCCGCGGCGCGTGCGCGCGTGGCCGACGAACTCGGGACACACACGGAGGCCTGCATCACGGCTCTGGGCTCTCGGTCTTTTTCAAAGCCGGGGGGTTGGGCGGAGGGACCTGTGCCATTGATATCGCCGTTATCGTCGCAATTTACTGACATAAAGAAATACCTTTGAAAATTATGCAGTGCATTACCACGACAATAATATGAATAGACAATGAATGGTACATCCTGCAATTTGCAGCGTGCGTTACTAAACACTAAACACACACACACCTGTTGCACGCAGTAAGACACGCCTCTCTGTGTGCACCTCCTGTGTGTGTGTGTGCGTGATGTGCCACTGCAGCGCTGTGATTCACATGCCACTGGGCAGGGAGGGGTAAAATCAGCAGCACTCTGTCACAAGTCAAGCGGGGGGTTGTGCTATGGATAGATGGGACCTCGGCTTAGAAATGTGGAATTTCCATAGCTGACCCACATGGGCAGGGCGCCAACAGAGATGATATCCGAACAGGCAGCTGCTGTGGGTTTGGCTGTCTTGTAATTATCATTAATTAGTCGCTCAGGAAAGCCACGCTGACTTCGAAGAACGTTTTTACGAGGGTCCTTACATTGGGATGTTTGGCCGACACCAATGGCACTGCATGGGGTTTTGTTTTTGTTTTAAGCTGCGGGAGGAAACCGGGAAAACCCCGAGGAAACCTTCGCAGGATGGGGGAAGAACATACAAACTTCACACACACAAAGCACCGTCCGTGTCAGGAATCGAACCCAGGTGGGAGCCACGTGCTGCCTTTTGCACCGCGCTGCGAATCATCAGAGGCACGGCCCTGTGAATGGTCGTCTTGGATGCGCGGGGACAGTCGCCTCGAAGATGCTCCACACCCCCACGCGGAACCGTGAGAAGCGCATGCGATGGCAGCAGGGGAAGCGGTATTTATTGGTACCCCCCACCCACCCATGCCTCCCGCAGCGCAATGGACTGTCCTCATCCCCAAAACTCAAATCGTGCGGTTGGGGCAAACACACACACACCAAACAAAAAAAATAAGTCGGCGATAAAGCACAAACGCGTTCGTGGTGTGTACCCGAACGTCGAAGGCGCGCCAGTGGTCAGCTCGCTGCGCTTTGAAGCTTCGTTCAATGGGAGTTCGATTCCCGACCACGGCTCGTGTCGCGTCAGTGGCGAGTGAATATCTGAAACCGGTGCTGTCAGCGTGGTGAGGGTATGCTCAAACAACCTCTAGGGCCAACGCGACATTGGGGGAAGGCCCTTATAGTTCAGTTAGCGAATTGACAGACGGGGTGTACATTATTTTTACGCTGTTCACGCATCGTATTTAGTCGTACAAAAGCATTAGGGCGGAGACCGCACGAGTATTTTCAAGCAGTCTGTTGAAAGTCGCATTGTTCGCCGGCCGCGCTATCGGACGGATGTAACTCTTCGCAACACACAACGCTGCGATATATTTGGAATAAAGGCATGCAAATGAGCGGACATCTGTATTATACCATTCCTTTGTGAGCTGACAATGGAGACGAATGGACACCCACGTATTGTCCCACTGCCCAGACTCGTTTCGTAGTGTTTTTCATGTACAATGGAAATCGTTCCACAAGTAAACCAACAAAAAAAACACCCAAAACGTTATTCTATTCGCTGAAAGAAAATCAAAGTTTCGGATGCTCTCATGTTTTTTTTTTACACTTGAGAAATCGATAGCATTCAACTGAATTTACAGCATACTACGGAGCACACACAGTCCGTAACTTTCGATGTTGAAATACTTAGGCTGCAGTATGTCCTATGCACGTCCTATCGCCTATACAGAGTTTAGCAACTTTGCATAGCCGCTCATACAGCATCGCTCTCGACCTCCTTGCACGTGATAATGTCAATAATCCGCATTGTCCTCAGAGCGAATGCTAGGTCTAGTCTCTGCTCCACCACATGAGGATATACAGCATATGTATATGTACGGCCCTCTTCTATACACCGCTGGATGAAAGCCTTCTTTCGCACCGTGCGTGCCTATCGGAGGTGCGGGGGGAGGACAGCATGGGGGGGAGGGGTTGTTTGACCATACTTCACTAATTCATAATAAAGGTTTTTGGGTTAAATCGCGTTATTATAAATGTGCCGCAAACCCTCCACCACCCGACGCAGCCAACCAGTAACAAAAAAATGCGTCACGTTAACAATTAGTTACTTATTCAGCCCACCGGTGTGTTTGAAGAGTGAATCCACAACATTTAGAATTTGAGCAGTACGACGTTTCGCTGGTAATTACATCCAGCATCTTCGGCCGATTTGCCAGAACACTTCACTATTCTGGTCAGTGCGGGTTGGTGACGGGGGGGGGGGGGGTGGCAGGGAGGATGGAGGCTTAGAACCGGGACCATTTCAGATTCATCTCTCTTAGCCGCTGTGGGGAATCGAACTCTGGTCGATGAATAATTCACGCATTGCGCGATGGCTCTAACCGCTGTCCCACCCGCCATGTACACTACGGTACTTGTACTGCACTCTAATGCTCGCTGGAGCCACCCAAGCCACGGCCGTAACGCTAATCAAGGACGGGGCCGCATGCGAAGTCTTACGAACGTCACAGACTTTAAGCAACTGCGGTCAATGAGAAACTGGGATTGTAAGGAAAGCTATTCGCGTATGGTGCCGCCGGCGGGGGTGTCCTCGTGCGGCGACCCGCCTCGCTATCCACTACAGCATGTGCATTATATTCTAAATCCGTCTTGTGGGCACGAGGGGATGATGTCTGCGCAACCCCCGGGAGAGACGCGCATTTCGACTCGCATTGTATCGATAATTTCACGCATAACATGCTGGCGAACAAACCCTGGCTTGTGCCGCCCATGGAATCAACTCTCCGGGCTCAATCGCCCCTTTTGTCGTTTTGACAAACAAAATCATATTGTGCTTCCCCCCCTCCCCGTCTCGTCTCGAGCTATTGACACGACCCCAACGAAGAGGGCTTAGCGCGGTCTATTTAATGAGCAATCCGCACAAAGCGGACTTTATACGCAGTGTCTGCTCGCGAAAAAGACGCTGCTGCTGCTGCTCATTGTAGGCTTCTGCTGGGGCTCTTGTCAGCCACACACACACACGGCCCACGTATCGTACTACAGTCGCGGCTGTGAGTGCCCAGGACTACGGCCTCACAACTACTAAACATTTTTTTGTTCCCATGGTAGGCCCGCTGAGCTAAAGTATATGTATATTTTTGAGAAGCGACTTGGCACACAAACTATAGCTCGACGGAATAGGCTTATCACGTGGACATTTATAGCGGCCAAAGACTCTGAACGAACGTTTCCAAATGTGGAGGGAAAACCCGGAGGATCCGGAGAAAAATCCACGCGACCACGGGGGGGGGGGGGGGGGGGGGGGGGGGTGGGGGGGGAGAGAGATACGTGCAAACTCCAAATATCCAACGGGCAATCTTCAGGGTCAGGATCGAACCCACGGCCTCCTGCATACCAGGCGAGGGAGTTAACATCTCGTCACCGCGGGCGCCCCAATCTGCACGTCGCTTAAACGACACACGAGGTGGAGAGTAAAACCTGTCCCCCTATAGTGCGTGTGTATATGTGCGCGTGCGCTCGCATTCCCGAGCAAGGCTGTCGGAAACGGCTACAGCCCCCATACAGTTGATTGCCAGTGCACAAGAGGGTGGGCTGGGGGGGGGGTTGGTTCGCTTGCATGTTGTGCGAGCCTTCCAGCTGCGAGCAATTACCAGTCGCAATATGCGAGCACTAAAGCAACGCGCGGTCTCCTCTCTTCGGCAACGCGAGCCGTGGGCACAAACTAAACGAGAGCGCACAACAACAACAAACGGATCTCGGGCACCGTTCAACTCACGGACACGGAGAGCGCGTGGATAGCCCCGGCGAGCGAGCGCCGCTGGGGGTGAAGGGAGACGCGCGTAACACGTCTGATGGACGCGTCCTTTTGGGAATGAAAGGAAAAACGGGGCCACACGTAAAGCCCGTGGGCGCAACGCACGCGTGCTGACAGTCGCGTTTTTTTTTTTCTAAAACAAAATTAAATAAAAATGCAAGGAGGAATGAATGATGACTGAGCCCGCGAAAACAGTAAAAAGTAAGAAGAACACGTTCGCTAAAAGCAGAGAGGACTGTCGTGGACTCGGCGCTACACTCGTGGACGAAAGCTGTGCGACCTATGCCGATGCACGAAGCGGACGCGTGCGTTGTTGTCGGTGCACGCGCGCTCACGGAGATGGAGCGAGGAATGAATACCGCATACTTGGCTCGCAGCTGAACTAACGGAGGGAGCAGTCGCGGGCTGGAGGCGGGCGAGCGAGCGAGCGAGTGAAAGTTTTTTTTTTTTTAGCGAAAGTGCCAAGGCGCGGCGTTACCCTCTCACCTGCCCTCGCCGTGCACGGGCTGACGAGGAGGCACAGCGTGCCCAGCACAAGCAGCTGCTGAAGCTGCTGCAGCTGCTGCTGTCGTCCCATCCCTGTCCTCCTCCTCCTCCTCCTCGGCGCTTCCCCGCTTTTCCACATTCAGCTTCACTCGCGTGGTGCTGCAGAACGCGCGCTGCAGGGGTGGCGGTGCTGGCGTTGCGGGCGGTAAAACGCGGCACCAGCGCCGAATTCAGCTCGCAACCCCTCTAAATCCCCTGGCTGCCTCGGGGATAACCGAGCACAAAAGAGCCTGGGCTAAAGAATCGACGTTAATTCCTCCTCCCACTCCACCACCCCCCCCCCTCCTCTCTCTGTATTTGCTCCGCGTTGCAGGCAATTAACGCGCAGCAGCGGCGAAAAAAAGTCACGAGGCTCAACTCAGCGTGGCTGGACGCAGACTGGGCGCGGGGACCGCCTCTCTCCTTTGTTGCCGACCTCCCCCTCCATCTGGAGTCGGCGGATGTCCATTTCCTGATGACGGCGCGGCGGGTCTCCGCTGGGAGGAGGAATGAGCCGGGCCCCGAGGGCCAGGGGGGGAGGAGCCGCAACGTGCCCCTAAGGCTGCGCTGATGAAGCGAGATGCTGACCTGGGCTTGGAGAGGGGGGGGGGGCGCTGGGTTTGCTTTGGGAGTGGGGGTAGAGGGGGGGGGTTGTTGAGGGGGGGCTGGTCTTGATCGAAAGGGTCGGCTTCTACTGCCGTGGCCGGTCACGTCTGCCTCGCTGCCACCTGCACAGAGTCACGGCAGCGGAGAAGGCGGTGCTGCGGAATCGCGCAGCGAGCGAGCGAGGGATCGCCGCGCGCTCGCTCAGCCTCGATCCACTGCCACGTCGGGCTGCGCGCAGCGCCACGGATCTCGTCAACAATACACGCCAAGAGCGAGGCGCTTACATAAAGCGCCGTGTCACAGCCCCATGTCAATGTCGCGTCTTGGGCCAACTTAATCCCCCCCACCCCATCCACCAGCCCCTCTGCGAATCGTGGAGGAAAGACGCGCGCACCGGACAGCAGCTACTTCCTCTGGCTGATCTGCGCGCAAAGCCAGCACGCGTGTACACTCCCGCACAATGTTTAGTGGCAGCAGCAGAAGTGTGGAATCTATAATGGTGTAGCATAGTCTTGCACCCCGTTGGTTTTCAATCGTAAAAAATATACATGTTCATATTTGCAATAGGTTTTATGAAACAAAGTAGTTGTACTTACGTTGCCCGTGCAAAATTTGTTTTTCGATTATTTACCTTCTAAGAAAAATGTGGCATGTCTCGCAAACCCAGAAAGGGCATCTCGAACCCCAAGGGGGTGCCTACACCCGAGGTTAAGAAGAACCACTGGTCTAAGAAGTGCGTAGTAAATGGAACGCCACCATCGCGCGAAAAAAAATCGCAGCGTTCAATCCCACACCGATTGTTCAAGAGACACTTAAAGCCCCAGGTCTGTCGCCTGGCTCTCGAGTGACAACGACACTGAGCCCCGCCTCTGTGCCTCGGAGTCTCTGTCATTTTTAATAAAACAGCAACACACTGAACCTGATCAATAACATGCCTTTGTGAGTCACCGCTGGTGTGACAGCCTCTCCGTGCCGTTGTCGGTCCGTCGGTCGTGAAGGTTGTTTGACCGCCACGCTGGTCAGTAGGAACGATATAGCGGGTTCACATTTATAACTCGCCGCCTAAGGTTTGCCAAGTTGGTCGCGCGGATGCACTCACCGCTGCGCCACCGCTCCACCCCCAGTGAGTGTGGCGGACTACGCATGGCGTGTTGAATGCATGCAGCACTGTATTGGCGAGATGATCAAAATAGTATTGGACGAGGATGCGGACGTGAGATGTGCCGCGAAGCGTGTTGTGCTTGGCTGTCTTGGTTGAGAAGGAAACGCGAGGCATCGAGACGTGGCAAAAGAAAATAATCGCGCAGTGGCCAGGGCGATAGAGGATGTTGATTATGCACGCAGTGATGAACTCAGCCAGGGGCATGCAAGCCTCCTTCCTCCCTCCACCAGCGAATGCTCATAAACATGCTACAATTGTAGTCTTATATATACAGCAAACAACTTGAATTGCATTGACATCCAAAAACAGGCCTTAAGCTCGAAAACGTAGCCTTAACGATACGGCAAAATTCGCGTGGTTTTCATATCACGGCGTCGGTTTTAATGTCGGTTCGATTATTATTATTATTCACGCGACCATTAACTAGGATGGCAACGGGCTATCTTATGATTTTGTTATCGAAGGAGCGTGCATGTCCGCTGACTATAATTGGCGTCGGAATTTATCAGAATGCGCTAAGATGCATTCCAACCAAAACCCATAGCTTTTCTCAACCGCCAAGTCGCTCCTTCGCCCCGTGGCAACTTTGTAACGCGCTAATAATTGTTGCGCAGGTAAGCCAGCGGATATAACGCAACCCAGACACAGGCGACTGGCGGCTGCCTCTGGAGGGCCCTTAGCTCTTTGCCTAACCTATTCGGGCGTAAATGTGTCATTAACGTGTGCTTTATTTAGGCATCTTCGGCAATAAACCAGGCTGGTTTAACCACTCTCGTAAACCCGTACTACTACCGATGGCAGTTCGAAAGAATATTAGCGTCGCTTAACAATAAAAGTGACATTCAAAATACGTCACGGTGCAGGATGGTGCCACCTAGCGGCCCTGGCGTGGCCAGTCGCTACGCTTTGATTTCTGAGACGGGTTGAAATGTCTTCTCAACGCACGGTTAGATAGATGGACGCTTGGAATGAATAACACTGACAGACTGACAGGAGGATACATGTACACGGACCGGTGAAGATACACACGTAGCAAATCATAAAAAGAGTGCGTTGACTGTTCAGGAAAGTAAATCTGTTACCTGGGGCAGCTGGGCACCTCGTTCGAAGGGACGGTGTGCCGGTGGACAAGACTGGTGACGGAATAGCAACCAGGGGAGACATCGCTCACGACACCGTACGACCACTGTGGAGGTGGAGTTGATGGCCTTGATGATGATGATGATAATAATGATAAAGGATTGTTGATAATAATTCAGTTGTTTGCTGCTGCTGGGTTGTATGGGCATTAACTGGTATGATTAAAAAAAAAGTTCATCTCTTTATGTTTTTTTTTTAATGTGATTTGTTTACCTGTCCAATACTTTGCAGTCCTCTCGTGTTCTTTTTTGTATTTTTTTGTTTGTTGTTGCAACGTTCTGACCCCGTGCCGCCTACTGAACATCCGTGACAAAGCGCTTTACAGCTCGTCGGATTCCTCAAATACGAACAAAGGATCTGATTCTGGCTCCCGCGGTCTGGCGTCCGTGCGCGGCCTTGTATCGAGTTGTGCGTTCGCGCAGCTCTGCGTCGGGGGGGTACGGGGAGAACGCGGCCCGTGGAAGCCCACCGCTGCAGGGAGAAAACCAGAGAGAGGCGTCCAATAAGAGCAGGGGATGTGCGGCAGTGAGATGGATTGTGGCCATCGCAGCACCACCGAGGAGGGTGGCTGGCGCACCGCGTGGGAAGACCGCCCAGCAGTTTGATGGTCCATGGCTGATGAAGATCTGTTATCCTCTGATTGAGGTGATACCGGATGGAGGATTGCAACTTTAGGTCGCGTGTAGGCTAACACCAGTGCCGAATTAAGCTAGTGCGGGGCCTGTAGCATATGTTGTAAAGGGGCCCTACATTTAAGAAAAAAAAAACACGTAAACATGAAAACACAATTTTTTTTAATTGCATAGTAAAGTAATTGTATTTTTTTTTCATTTGCTATACAGCCAGATATTACGACAAATTGCTCACCTTAAACACCCAGTCGTTCATAAAAGTTGAAGGCGATATAGTACTGCAGTAATAGAGCAAGTGCAGAATCACTGAATAGAAATTGATAGATTGAAAGCATTTAGCGCGGGGCCCTTGAAAGTGCGGGGCTTGCAGTTACATGTGTAGCTAACTTTTGCTACGAGGATAATCCGGCACTGGCTAACACGCTTCTTTTTAATAACCCCGTTAACTGCCGAATGCTTCCCATTCAGGGGTTGCACGTGGACCACAGCAATGTCGTCTGGTTTATTTTCCTCTCCCTCAAAGCGTGAGCAATAAAAATCACCGACAGTGTGCGTGCGGTTAGGACGCGATTAAAGATGTCTGGAGACACGAACGCAAGAGAACGACATTGATAAAGTGTGGTGCGTGTTTGCTGTGGTGTTTGTGTGTGTGGTGCGTGTGTGGGGTGTGTAGCGTGTGTGGTGGTGTGTGTGTGGGTTGTGTAGCGTGTGTGGTGTGTGTGTGGTATGTGTGTGTGGGGTGTGTAGCGTGTGTGGTGTGTGTGGGGTGTGTGTGTCGCGTGTGTGGTGTTGTGTTTGTGTGTGTGGTGCGTGTGTGGTGTGTGTGTGGGGGTGTGTGTGTAGCGTGTGTGGTGTGTGTGTGTGGGGTGTGTAGCGTGTGTGGTGTGTGTGTGGGGTGTGTGTAGCGTGTGTGGTGTGGTGTTTGTGTGTGTGGTGCGTGTGTGGTGTGTGTGTGTGGGGTGTGTAGCGTGTGTGGTGTGTGTGTGGGGGGGTGTGTGTAGCGTGTGTGGTGTGTGTGTGGGGGGTGTGTGTAGCGTGTGTGGTGTGTGTGTGTAGCGTGTGTGGTGTGTGTGTAGCGTGTGTGGTGTGTGTGTGGTGGGTGTGTGTAGCGTGTGTGGTGTATGTGTGTGTAGCGTGTGTGGTGTGTGTGTGTAGCGTGTGTGGTGTGTGTGTGTAGCGTGTGTGGTGTGTGTGTGTGTGGGGTGTGTGTAGCGTGTGTGGGGTGTGTGTGGTGTGTAGCGTGTGTGGGGTGTGTGTGTGGGGTGTGTGTAGCGTGTGTGGTGTGTGTGTGTTCAGGAATGGGAGCCGTTTTTATTGAGGCACCGAGGAACAAAGGAGTCGGCAGAATCTCGCTGGGCAGTCTGCGGTTGGACGCCCAATAGGCCATATTTTTCGTGACCCGAGCCGTTGAAATCAACGAAAATGTGCGTGGATATCACGAGGTATCGACGGGTCACTTTTACATTGTGTATATATACACACACACACAGATACAAATGCATATTAAAATTACCAACACAACAAAAACAACAACATTATGTTGCATCGTCACGAATGTCTAACAAATACGTCCGCATATACATATCTTACACTGTTCACCAAAAAGCCATGTATATACACACTGAAACAAAGCGTTGAAAGATTACATTCTTGCGAGGACGGTTTTCCACCGTTAAAAGAACTCAATAAAAGGCCTCCCTCCCAGTCGAATTTCTACCCACGCGACAACTTCTGGTGTCGTCTGTGGCTCGGTATGAGAAAACGTAACCCTCGCGTGAAGATTACGCCCGGTTTATGTGTGCGTGCATTCGTTAATAATGTCATGATCAGTCTCATGGAGTCTTCGTGTTTACTTTCGCGAGCAAAAGACGACCTTCAAATGCAAATTGGACCTAAAAGTCTAAGGGCTGCGGTGAACTAATTGCGGTTTTTTTTTTTTAGTGGCTCAGAGGTTAAGGTTTAAATCAATTCATTTAAATTTAATTTGAATGTTTAAACAAAATCAATGCGGGCGTAACAAAGAAAAAAAGGCGTAGTTATGGTAACCAACTATAGTACTGAAAGCTTTGCGTGCGTTGAATGTC